TTTCTGACAGCACAGGTCTGTGACTACGTTATGTAGTGAGAGCACATTTCTTTGTTTTAATTACTGTGTTGTTTTACTTTAAGATAAACGGAAATGCCTCTTCAAGCAAAGTTCCCCAAGCTGCTCTCTGGGTAGAAGAGAGAGTTCGGAGATCAGGCGGCGGTGTCACCTGTATGCTGTGTCCCAGCCCAGGTGTCCTGAGCCCCCGGGCACCTTGCTGGAGCAGGGGGATGGGGACGGGGACGGGGATGGGGACGGGGATGGGGACGGGCATGGGGATGGGGACGGGGACGAGGATGGGGACAGGGACATGGACGGGGACGGACACGGGGACAGGCCAGGACTCACTCTCATAGCGGATCAGGAAGCCCACGCTGGCCCGGCTGCTGTCCGTGGTGAAGAGCAGGCGCATGGAGTTGCCGGTGCTGATGAGGAACTGGGGGGCCTGCGTGCCCTGGTACTCCCCAATCAGTGGGGACGAGCTGCCCGGCCCGTCCCGCACCTCCAGGGTGTCGTAGTTCACCTCGGTCTGGAACCTGGGGACAGGACGCCAGTCGGGAAAGATGCACGCAGCCATGTGACCCGCAGACATCCCCGCGGGACCTTAGGCGCTGATGACAGACCCGTGGGTGCAACAGGCATAAAGTGAGTGCCGTTCCCGGTGCCTGTAACCACGTGGGCACCTGCAGTCTTCCAGAACAGAGCTTCCTACTAGAGGAAAGGACCCCCACACCCCTCCCTGCCATGCCATACCCAAATGTAACAGGCAGAGGGCGCTGGTCGGCACTAAATAAAACACCCCTCAACCAGGCTGCCGGTGTGGCTCAGTGGATGAGAGTCAGCCTATGAACCAGGAGGTCACTGCTCAGTTCCCGGTCAGGACACATGTGGGCTCGATCCCCAGTGTGGGGCGTGCAGGAGGCAGCCGATCCATGATTCTCTCTCATCATTGATGTTTCTATCTCTCCTTCTCCCTTCCTCTCTCTGAGATCCATAAAAATATATTTTAAAAAATACCCATCAACCAGATTAGCTTTCATAAAATTGATAGATGGATCAATAATCAACGATTACTGAAAAATCCATCAGTTCGCCTTTTCAAACGACTGTCACCATCCTCTGTTTAACAGGATGGATGGCTCACAGGGCGGGGCTGGAATCCAAGGTACAGGCTGGGCACTGGGTTGAATGGTGCAGCCTCGTCTCTCACTGTTTAAATGTTCTCTACAGTTTCTCCGTGACCGGAGTTCAAACTCCGAAGTCTGGGTGAGCAGGGAGCAGACCCCATCTCAAACGTGCACCACAGTGCTCACGGCTTCTTAGCGACAGCCGGGGAGGGAGAGCGCACCCAATGTGTTCCCGAGGGTTAAGATGATGCTCTCCCATATCACAGACACGTAAACCGAGTCACTTCTTTTCTTTTGAGAGAGTGTCCTGCGGAGACTGCTATTGTCCCACCAAAACTAAACAATGACATCGCTCCCCATGTCAAAGGCAGATAATCACGAGGAGATCAGGCGGCTCTGCTCACAGCCTTCCCTGGGCGGTTGTCACCATCGATTATTAGAAAAGTAGCAACACCCAAACTAAACTAAACTAAGGACATCCACCCCCTGTGAGACAGTATAACCTCTGAGCACCAAACCCCGACCCCTGCATGCAGAGGAGGCCCTGCCAGGGGCACCCCAGGCGGTGCGGAGGGCAGGACCACCGTGCTCCCTTCGATTTTAAAACATGTGGTTCCTTCAAACCGTTTTTGCTTTATAATCCTCAGTTGGATTTCGTTGTTGAGACAAATGGTAAAATGTTTCATTATGAAAAATTCTAGTAGCGTGGTCGTGTTTTAGGTGATCAGACACACTGTCTCGCAGCCACGCCCGCGGCACTCCTGGGGTCTCTCCCTGTAGATAAGTCACCTGGCCATTCACCTGGCAGCCCTCCCCAGGGCCAGCTCCGCCCCTGACACCGCCCTGCAGTTACCCGCCGCGGCCACCGGAGGCGCTGTTCCCTGTGCTTCCAGGGGGTGCTCAGGGTCTGAAGGAGGCGCATGCGCCATCAGACAAGCAGCCCTGGCTGGTGTGGCTCAGTTGGTAGAGCGCCGGCCTGTGGACGGAAGGGTCCCAGGTTCGATTCCAGTCAGGGCACATGCCTGGGCTGTGGGCTCCATCCCCAACTGGGGGTGTGCAATGATTCTCATTATTGGTGTTCTTTCTCTCTCTCCCTCTCCCTCCTTCTCTGAAATCAATAAAAATATACTTAAAAAACAAGCACAAAGAACCAAGCAGAGAGGTTTCCACCTGCAGGTGAGCATCCAGAGGGGCTCAGGGCTGGGCACTGGGACGCTGTGCAGCAGCAGTGGGGGCCGGGGGCTAGACTGTCACTTCTGAACTGAGACTCAGAGGATCAGGCTCAAGAACTGGACATGTCCAGCACGGGCCTATCTCCTCTAAGCAAAGCCCTCGGGGGAGCAATAAAGCAGGACCCGCTCCACAGTCTCCGGGCCCATCTGGATGGGATGCGGGCCCACGGCTCCTCGGTCCCCGTTAAGGAAGGAGGGTTCCCGTACCTGTCGAAGGTGATTTTGACAGCGTGCCCTGGTTTTGCCTCGACGACCCATTCACAACTGAGAGAGTCTTTGTAGTACCCGGGCCACCCGGGGGGCAGGATGACCCCGCTGGACGCCGTCAGGTGGCCGCCGCACGGGGCTGAAAGGGAGAGGGGTCGCAGGTCATTGACTGGTGTGGAGTGGACACACGCCCCACCCCGCACGCCCCTACCCTGCACGGCCCACCCTGCACGCCCTCACCCCGCACGGCCCTCACCCGTATGCCCCCACCCTGCATACCCCCACCCCATACACCCCACTCCACACACCCCACCCTGCATGCCCCACAGGCAGTGGGGAGGCGCCCTGCTGTGTTCGCGGAGTGAATGCCCCCACGCGCTAAAGCAAAACTGATTCCCGAGTGAACGCCGCGCACTGCACTGAGATTTTTCGGCAGCACATTCATGACACTTATTTCATGTGTCAGCCACACCCACAGATACTCTCTGAGAAAGACACACAGCAAATACAGACGGAGGAGTGGTTTCACTACCTCAGACGTTCCTAAATCTGCATGATGAACACTTCCTACGTGTCTCCTTTCCCTCATGGGATGCGCCTAGCCTGTTCCACATTATTCTTGCCGCCTGTGGCGTCTTTGCACATCACCGTGTACCGTGTAGGGCCCTGGGGACCTTGTGTCACTCCGTCCTGATGAAAGGCAGGCGGGTCTTTACATGGCACAGCGACAAAGGTGAACCCTCAAACGTTCAGTGATGATGTCGGCACTCGGGCCGGAAGCTGACAATTCTGCTGCCACTTACACCGAATTGGCCAGAACTCAGCACAGGGTCTTGCCCAACCACAGGGGCGCAGGAAGCGAAGACCGTGTGGTGGAGAGCGGGAGGCAGACACGTGTGCCAGTGACATGCGTGCTCACATGCATGACAACCTGCCAGCGTGGGAGTCAGGGCTCACGGACGCCATCCTCCTTTGACGTACGGACCATTTGCACTGGCGTGTCCCCTGCAACCGTGTTCCTAAAATAGGCCTTCCCGACCCGACATGTGTTCTGTGGCTGACTCTCCATGCAGACCTTTGGCGCGGGCCTGTTCCACGAACACTGGGTCATGAGATGCCGCAGGAGCGAGCGCCCGGCCCGTGTGAGGGTGCTCCCTGCGTGCACTTGGCCCACGGGACCTGCCTCTCGGGTCCTCAGTGCTTGTGTCCCTCTCCATGGCCAGCCCTTTATCACCTCTTTTTCTGGTCCTTTGTGGACTCAGGTGCTGCACTTTAACTTGGGTGATGTATCGTTTGCTAGTTAATCACCAAGTCCCCGTGAACTCTATCATGTGCCTTGTGGAGTGAGTGACATATTCGTGTGCAGTCCCCTCCTCCCACACCCTGGTCACCGGTGTTCCTACGCACACGGAGCTGTGCAGGGCAGCGGGAGGCTAGCGCAGAACAAGGAGCGCAGTCTCGCCCCCCGGGGCCGCTCGGTCTCCAGCAGGTGGGGAGCGTCGGCCTCCAACACCGGAGCCAGGCTGAGCAGAGCCCCCATGCCTGGGAGGGCCCCCGAGTGCAGCTCCAGTGCTGAGGATCCTGCGGGTCTGTGTCTGACCCAGCATGTGCTGGTGTTGGTGTAAGGCCCTGTGTGCCCTGTGTGCCCGTGTTGGTGTAAGGCCCTGTGTGCCCGTGTGGTGTAAGCCTGGCGTGTGCCCTGTGTGCCCATGTGGTATAAGCCCGGCGTGTGCCCTGTGTGCCCGTGTGGTGTAAGCCCGGCGTGTGCCCTGTGTGCCCGTGTGGTGTAAGCCCGGCGTGTGCCCTGTGTGCCCGTGTGGTGTAAGCCCGGCGTGTGCCCTGTGTGCCCGTGTGGTGTAAGCCCGGCGTGTGCCCTGTGTGCCCGTGTGGTGTAAGCCCGGCGTGTGCCCTGTGTGCCCGTGTGGTGTAAGCCCGGCGTGTGCCCTGTGTGCCCGTGTGGTGTAAGCCCGGCGTGTGCCCTGTGTGCCCGTGTGGTGTAAGCCCGGCGTGTGCCCTGTGTGCCCGTGTGGTGTAAGCCCGGCGTGTGCCCTGTGTGCCCGTGTGGTGTAAGCCCGGCGTGTGCCCTGTGTGCCCGTGTGGTGTAAGCCAGGCGTGTGCCCTGTGTGCCCATGTGGTATAAGCCCGGCGTGTGCCCTGTGTGCCCGTGTGGTGTAAGCCCGGCGTGTGCCCTGTGTGCCCGTGTGGTGTAAGCCCGGCGTGTGCCCTGTGTGCCCGTGTGGTGTAAGCCCGGCGTGTGCCCTGTGTGCCCGTGTGGTGTAAGCCCGGCGTGTGCCCTGTGTGCCCGTGTGGTGTAAGCCCGGCGTGTGCCCTGTGTGCCCGTGTGGTGTAAGCCCGGCGTGTGCCCTGTGTGCCCGTGTGGTGTAAGCCCGGCGTGTGCCCTGTGTGCCCGTGTGGTGTAAGCCCGGCGTGTGCCCTGTGTGCCCGTGTGGTGTAAGCCCGGCGTGTGCCCTGTGTGCCCGTGTGGTGTAAGCCCGGCGTGTGCCCTGTGTGCCCGTGTGGTGTAAGCCAGGCGTGTGCCCTGTGTGCCCATGTGGTATAAGCCCGGCGTGTGCCCTGTGTGCCCGTGTGGTGTAAGCCCGGCGTGTGCCCTGTGTGCCCGTGTGGTGTAAGCCCGGCGTGTGCCCTGTGTGCCCGTGTGGTGTAAGCCCGGCGTGTGCCCTGTGTGCCCGTGTGGTGTAAGCCCGGCGTGTGCCCTGTGTGCCCGTGTGGTGTAAGCCCGGCGTGTGCCCTGTGTGCCCGTGTGGTGTAAGCCCGGCATGTGCTCTGTGTGCCCGTGTGGTATAAACCTGGCATGTGCCGGTGTGTGCCCGTGTGTGCTGCCCTAGGCCCCCTGTAGTGGCACTGCCGGCGGGGCACCCACCTTCGCAGCGTGGCACGGCGGCGCTCCACACCACGTTGCCGTCCTGCAGGGCGCAGGTGATGGCCTCGGAGCCCTGCGTCCTGACGAAGCCGTCGTCGCACTGGAAGGTCACCGAGCTCCCCAGCAGGAAGCGGTCCCCGGAGCGCTGCCCGTTGACGGGGATGCCGGGGTCATGGCACTCGTTCTGACCAAACGCTGGACAGGAAAGTGGACTGAGGTCACTTCTGCGCATCACACAGGACAGACCTGCTGATAAGCGCAGTGCCCAGCCCTCAGCCCTCTGGTCCTACAGACAGACAAACACAGTGTCTCCGCATGACACTGCTCCCTAGTGAGAGGCGGACACGCGGCGTGAATGCCACACATGAGCCTCGACAGCCCGTGTCCCACCCTCTAGGGAGACAGAGAGGATGGGTGGGTGGTTCGGACACATCTCGGCCGGAGTCCCGGCTCCTGCGTAGTCCCCGCCCGGGGGCAGCGCCCGCCCCTCCCTCACAGAACGAGGACTAGCCAGCCGCCCCCAGAGACGCTGTCCTGTCTGACGAGAGGAGCCCTGGCCAGGGCTAAGCACAGAGCCCCCCAGAAGCCGGCAGCCAGGAAGCACAGCCCTTAGCTCACCCCACCCTCCCCTCAGCGGCACTGCAGGGTGCTCTCCAGTAGAATCCGCGTTGCCAAGGGGAGGTCAGAGGTAAAGAGAAGGCAACGTGAGCTGTCGCATCAGAGCTCACCAAGGGCCACAGGTGTCCCAGGGTGGGCGCCTGGCCCAAACCCTCCATCCTGTCCC